TACTTTTTTTTTGTAAATAGGTGGGAACGAAACAAGTAATGAGAGGATAAGCCTCTTGCTCTATTTATAGAGTTTCTCGGGAAACGCAATGCCTCGAAAAACGTGAAGCGCTATTCGAATTTCGAATGAGGATGTGACGAGATCGCGAGTGAAAACGGGAAGGTGAAATCACGAAAACTTAATATGGTTTCCTAAAAGTGTCGTTGGCTTGATGAAGTTTCGGAGAGCTTGAGATTTTGTATTTCGCATAAAGGAAACAAAGTTGTCATACCTCGCGTTAAGGAATGGAATCATCTCAAGTTTTCGTATCCGCAACTTGGGTGATATCTAAGATTCCCGAAGAAAGTTGATTGCGAGTTAAAACATCGAACAAAATAATATATTGTATCTTGAATTAAATGACTTAAGTCCTCAAAACTAAAGAAAAGGAAAGTGGGATCCAGTTCGAGAGATAGCCAAATTTCATTAAATAAAGTTTATCTCGGCATTGCGGCGACAAGCCCAATTTGCGAACAAGGAATGAATGGGCCGCTTAGTTAATAGAATTCGGAACCGGGTTGTTCATATCAATGAGGTCTTGAACATGGGCCACGGGTTGACGAGTAAAAGTGGGCTTCGGATCGGGGAGGTCTACGAGGTCCGCGAGATGGAAAAATAGAAAGTTACTCTCAAATTGAAAATTTGTAACGTCAAAGTCAAAAAGGAGTTAAGAGAGTTGAATGAGATTGTAAATAGAGAATGTGATTCTCGTAAAATTGTAATGAATATATATACGAAATGAGCCTAGAGAGAGAAGATTATCTGAATTTCTAGCAAGATACGCGATAAATTTGTTCTTTCATACTTAGTTTTTCTTACGTTATATTTTTGATTCTCTCAATTTATTCATCTCGCGAACTGGAAATTCTGATAACTTGGTCTTCCTAGATTGACAAATTTCATCTAGTGATCTCGCCTCGATTATTTTTCTATCTCCGATTTTTTGTATTTTGGTGTGACTTTGATCTTACCAGAGCTAAGATTCAGAACATGTTGCTACTTTTGTGATGATTTTCTACCCTCTCAAACCTAATAGAACTTCTTACTTAGACGAGGAGTATGATGAAAGCTTGTCGATTTTTTATTTTGGACCACAAAATGTATTGTTCATTCAGGCCCATGAATATACGTAGCTTTCACAAATGATGGCTCAAATTGATTAGGTCAGCTTAAGATGATAAATCAAAATTTGAAGTTAGTGAAATTGTTTTTGTATGAAAGAGAGCAACAAAGTTCGATGAATGACGGCTACTCAAAAGGGACCCAAGTGCTCGTCAACCATTGAAGAATCTTCCTTTCAAGCTAAACGTTTTGTTCTTCTTAGAAAGCAAATCACATCACTACTCAATTTTTAACTTTATTCATTATTTTCACGTACGCCTAGATTAAACGCAAATGCAATTATAATATTCACTATATTCTCGTCCAACATTCGTGGTATATGTGATAAACTATATTTGGTTTTTATAATATGTCGTATATAATATGTTTTAACTTTAGATACATATGTTTTTAGTTTGTATGTGAAATTGATTAGTTGGAAATAATATGATGGTTTTTTTTTAACTTGTAGGTAGACATGGAGTAGTACGAAGTATTGTATTTTATATTGAATATAGTTATTAGTGGAAGTATAAGTAGTTGACTATGTTGTAACTCGACCAGAGCCGAGCCGACCCAAACCCACATAGGTTCGAGATTTTAATGGGAATTTGACCTGGACACATTTGTTATATGAGTTGAATTTACATATCCGAACCCAAGAATATGAAACACATTGACTAAATGAGTTATATGGGTTACCTACATA